GCTTAAAGCACAATTGGAGAAAGCGTGGGAACTCATTGTGGAAAGGATTGAACATGCCGAGGCCGAGGTGGATCTTATGACGTGACAGATCAGGGATTGGGAAGATATTGTATTTTTGTCTTCCAAACTTGATGCCAAGAAGCTCCAGGTATGCCAGCGGCCAGAGTAATTCTATATACATTACATAGCCAGTATTGGATGAGTCAGCTTTTCTATAGTTTGCCATTGAGGTGGCATGACGCCAAGCCTCTCCCCAACCTTTTTATGCCAGAAGTGAGCCAAACAGGCGTGTTCACCAACAACGGGACAAACACCATGTGGTAAGACGTTGCCAGCCAGGCCCACAAGAGTTCCTGGGTCATAAAGGAGGCTGAATCCGAGCCCGGGCATGTAAAACCGACCTTAGTCGTACCGACCAATCGTCAACAACATGTCGAAAGACTCCCTGTAGCCCTTTACATCTCGGTGGGTAATTGTCTCTCTGTTTATGATGACTGAAAGGCCGGTGAAAGGTGTACCCCACACTCCCAGAGCCATGCTGGTAGCTTCATCTTGCTGACTGTCCACTTCAGTCACCCACTGCCAACTGACTATTAGTCATGCAAACTCCACGTAAGTTACATGACTAAATGTCATGGACCATATCTATATTCTAGATATATATGGGTCCTAGAAAGCCCTGAAATCTAAAATATATTCTTGACACGTGGACCCTGAAATGTCACACAAAAATTATAATGTCTGTGTCACACCACCAAAATATATTTTGCAAGTGAAATGCAGTAAGGATATATTTTTGGTCAGTGGACCCTGAAATGTCACTGTCACACCTTAGAAATATATTTTGCCCTGGCTTGGCCTTAGGATATATTTTGTGAAACAGATGTGGTAAGGATATATTTTTCTGGTCTGTAGGGGTGTCAGGGGTCCTAGTTTCAGCAAAAAACTTGTGATTTTTTTGCTGTCTAGGGTATATACTCTGGAAGATTCTGCAATGATTTCCAGGGGTTTTGGCACTATGTCTGGCTTGTGCTCCCAGTATGTAGGTAGCAATAAGGGGCATCAATAGTATCTGTGATCTACCTGAGTTGCTTAAGTATCATGCACTTCCAATCACACTATGAATACAGTTCGTGTTACGGACTAACAATTTTGGGCCTCAATGACATGTGTGATTCACCTTGAAGCTCTTCAGTCCAAGATTCCTGAGTTGCTGTGGTATTATCCATTTTGACACTATGGATACAGTTCGCACTATGGAATTTTTTAGCTGCTTAGAAATCCCCTCCACTTCTGCTTCTACTTCAGCTCCGAGATCCAGTTGTACCTTATCGGCATCCCCCATCAACATCTGTATCACCATTCCCTGACAGTCAAACCCCTACATGTGATATCAAACATCTCCCAATCCACTTTCAAAAACAAAAGAGTTCACAATGTTTTTTGTTGTTTCTCTCCTTCTCTCTCCAGTTGCACCTTATTATCTGCATACCCCACCAACATCTGTATTACCATCTCCTGCCTGTCAAACCCCCACATGTGATATCAAACATCTCTCCCAACCCACTTTCAAAAACAAGAGTTCACAAAGTTCATTGTTGTTTCTCTCTTTCTCTCTCCAATTGCACTTATCTGCATACCCCACCAACATCTGTATTATCTATCTGCACTCTGCGGGGGTGCTCACTTCGCCATCTGAGTGTTGTGGCAATTGTACATCACAGTTTTGCAAGATATAAGCCTATACTGTTGTCTACTACTTATCTACTACACAATATCAGCAGTACCTATGTGCAAAACTTGAATCATTGAAGCGATGTTGCATATGCATGTGTTGACCACCCAGTTTTTGTCCTCAAAAATAATCATAAAAACTGCAACAAAACCCTTTTTTCTTGCTCATATTATTGTAAATGCTGTTAGTCCCCACTTGAATCCAAGATTTTAGGGGCAGGGAGTAAACACTTGCTGAGATATAAGCCATTCAAGAAATCTACTGATACAATTTGCGCATGTTCATTTTGTACTTGTTCGTCCAGGCCTTTCACCCTTAGTCAATGATTGCTCGCTGCACTCGCAATTACCATCCCCTGCCAGTCAAACACCCAAATGTGAGATCAAACATCTCTCCCAACCCACTTTCACAGACAAGAGTTCACAAAGTTCTCTGTTGTTTCATGTGATCAAACATCTCTTTACCCACTTTTGCAAACAAAGTTCTTTGTTGTCTCTCCCTTACTCTTCTTCTCTTCTCTCCCTCTCCTCCTCTCCCTCCCTTCCTCTCTCTTTTTCTTGAGTCTTGATTGTAAATTCATGGACAACAGACTCCATTCTCCTCTAACAAATTTTGTTCACCATGTCATAATATGGGGTTCTTTGTATTTTCCATGATTCTCTTTGTGCTTGCTGTTACTCAACTGATCTGTATGGTTTCAAGTGTAACACAGAAACATGCCACACCAAATCGACATCCTACCCCATACAACTGCATCAAATATGCATTTTGGGAAGGTAGAAATCTTGGAAGGTACATATTTTGGGAGTATATATTCAATCATCAGAATGAATCCTACTGCATAATATATATTCGGGATACACCCCATTGCTGAAGAATATATTTGACAACTATATCTTGAACTCACATATATCTTTCCACTAAATCCTGAACCAAAATATATATTTTCAACCATATCATGAATCCAGATACATCATTTCTGAACTATATTATAAATATTTTAATTATATGCTAAACCAAGATATATTTATCAACAATATCCTGAATCAAGATACATCATTTTCCAAGTATATCTTGCATTTTCCCACTACATTCTCAACCAAGATATATTTTTATACTACATCCTGAACCAGGATATATTCACAAGACATATCTTCAAACCATATCCTGAACCAGGATATATCTTTCAACTATATATAGAACCAGGATATATTACCAAGATATATTCTCAAGCTATATCTTGAACCAGGATATATTCTGCAGACATATCTTTAAACTAAACAGAACATCTTTTTGATATATTTTTGAACTGTATCCTGAATCTATTATCTGTAAATTTCACTAGACAAAGGTGCAATTTATTGGATAGAACTACATACATTTACATTACTACATTGACTATCAAATAAAAAAATAAAGAGAAGGGGAGGGAGTAAGGGAGAGGGGGTGGGGGTTGGTGGGCAATAAGGGAGGGGAGAAAGGAGTGGTAGGAAATGAGGGAGGGAGGTGAGGGTGGTGGGCAGTGAGGGGGAGGGGATAGTGGGAAGTGAGGTAGAGGGTGGAGGAAGAGGGGTGAGAGTGGTGGGCAATGAGGGAGAGGGGAAGGGGTGGTGAGCAATGAGAGAGGGGTGGTAGGCAAAGAGGGGAAGAGGGGGGAAGGACATGGGTGGTAGGCAATGAGGGAGGGGGAAAGGTGATAGGCATTGAAGGAGAGGGGTAGTGGGCAGTGAGGGAGAGGGGTGAGGGTGGTGGGCAGTGAGGTAGAGGGGTGGTGGGCAGTGAGGGGGAATAGTGGGATGTGAGGGAGAGGGGGAGGGGGTGGTGCGCAGTGAGGGAGGGTTATTTGGCCCTCGTCGCCGTGTAGGTGGTGGTGGCGGGCGCTCGAGATGTCTTCGTCGTCGCCGTCCGTTGTTTGTGCGCCCTCGTCGTCTCGTCGTTTGTACGCCCTCGTCGTCGTCGTCGTTCGTACGCCCCCTCCTCCTCGTCGTCCGCCGTTTGTAAGCCCTCCGTCGTCCGCCGGTAGTACGCCCTCGTCGTCGTCTGTTCGCAGTCGTGGTTGTCGTCGTCCGTCTTTCGCCCTTCCGTATCCTCGTCACACCGTTGAATGGCGTCTGTTCTGCCTGGGGTCGTTTTGCACCGTGATGTGGCCGCTGACGGGCGGCATGCCTTTCCCTTTGGGGAGGGGTCATATGGTGACGTGGGGAGTGCTAGCCGTCAACCGCCAGTGGGCGGTCGACGGTGGTGGTGTCCTGTGAGTCATGTGGGTGGTAATAGACGTGGAGGGACTTACTTATAGTGCCCAATATGAAATGACGACGACGACGTAATCATCGTCGTCGTCGTCGTCGTCGTCGTCGTCCGTCTGTGTTGCAGTTGCCACGCCGCTCGACGATTGTCGAGGGCGCTGGTCCTCGTTTTTCGTGCACGCTGGTCGCTCGTTGGGTAGTTCGAGGCTCCTGGGGCTGTGGGGTGCGCCACTCATCGACTGTCGTGTGCGCTGGTCGTCGTTTGCCCGTCGTCGTTCTTGTTGATTGGTATGTTGTCGTTGTTGTTCAGCGGTCGTGGTTCTTGGTTGGGCGTTCATCGTCGTTTGCCCCTTGTTGCCTTCGTGGTGTGTGGTTTGTTGGGTGGTTGTTGTCGGTTTTGGGCGGCCAAGGTCGTTTTCGGTGTTGAACGTTGGGTGACTTGGGATGGCGGCGACGTGGTGGTGAGGGAGTCGTTGGTGTTGAACGTTGACGCGTTGGTATGGTGGGTTGAAGAAAAAAGAAACGTCACACAGAGTCACACTCACAGTGACGTAGGTATCAACGTGCAAGTTTCAATGCAAGTTCACGCTCCCGGCGCCTGCCCAAATCTGTAGCACCCACCGTTTCGAGTTGAATTTGTAGTCTATTAGGTAACTTTGTATTCATTACAGAGATTTGTACCTAATGAGAGATCTGTCCCCACAGTTATATTACATGAAAGTATTTCATAAAATTGCCACTTCCAGGGTTGCAGGAGGGCTACGCTGTTGAGGATTAGGCTGCCGGGAATGGGTTCGATTCGTCTTCTGTGCAGGCACGCTCGGAACAGCCCCCAAACCGTATGCAGGTTGATAATCGGTCTCAACCTCATCACATCGTAGACATAGAATTGCTCGTATCTGTAACAGGCAACTTGTAAGTTCCCGCTTGACGACTAAATGGGTGCAACTCACTGGGTGTTTGTGAACACGACAGACATTGCATCTGACTACAATGCAATAAGTTGGGCACCATGACTAATGCCAAGTTCACAGGAAGGAATCTTTCGTGTTCCTGGTGACATTGGACAACAACTCAGTTTCCGAACTGAAATTACGGACTATTATACTTTAGACGCTGTCGACGATCTGCATGTTCTCCTGTTGTTGATGAAACTCTCATTGCGCGAGCTCTGCGATCCCCTTGTCCCAAGTGAAATGTACAACGAATGTACTCATTCAGCATTCTAGGGATCATCTTGCCTGTATCTGCATCGTGGAACAGTGCGAACATCAACCGTCATGTCATTTTTTTTGTCATTAGTCTCTTGCAACTGTTTCTTGAAGAACAAACCCAGAGTATTACCAAAATGACACTGTCCGATCTGTTCTTTGGGGAAAAAAAAACTTTGTAGTGTCTACTTCGCTTTTTGGGACTACCAAAACTACCAAAACTTGTATTCTCTCCTTTTATAATTACAAAGTTTTGTAGTACCAGCTTTTTGAGACTACAATTCTTGTAGTCTCCTCTTTTTTCATTACAAAAGCTTGTAGTCTCCTCTTTTTTCATTACAAAAGCTTGTACTGTAAAGATTTGTAGTGAAAAATTGTGGTCCCGAAAAGCGGACACTACAGAATTTTGTCTTCTCAAAAAGCAGACACTAAGAATCTCTGGAATAAAAAAGGGGATATCACAAGGTTTCATAACAGACACTACAATATTTAAATAGAAACCGCGGGCGCTACAGGTTTGGGCGTGAGCGTGATCTTATGTGTGAATTGTGCCCAACGTCACACTCTGTCACATATTGTGACGTTCCTTCCTTCAAACACATCGTCAACGCCAGCGAATCCACCTCACCACCATGTCGCCGCGATGCCACGTCACGCAACGTTCACCACCGCAAACAACCCTCGCTGCTCAAAACCGACAACGACCGCCTAACAAACCACACACCACGAAGACAACAACCGCAAAACGGCAACCAGTGCCCATCAAGCAACATACAACCCAACACCACCGCCCACGAAAAACGACGAACGACCCCACGAGCGACCAGCGGACCACGACCACCCAAGAACGACGACAAACAGGAGCAAGTCAGGCCACGTTGCAGTCAGCGACGTGGCAACTATGTGTCACAGCCGGACGACGACGACGACGTAATCGTCGTCGTCATTTCATGTGAACCACGGTAAGCCCCTCCCCCCTTTATGACATGACTACCAGAACACCCCACCGTCCAACCCTTGACGGATAGCACAACCCACCTCACCATGCCACCCTCCCTCATGCCGCCTGTCAGCGGCCACGTCATGACGCGAAACGACGCCAGGCAGGACAGGCGCCAATCAACGGCCTGACGAGGACACCGAAGGGCGAAAGACGGACGACGACGACGGCGAACAGATGAAGGACGACGACGACGACATCCACGACGGCGAACAGATGAAGGACGACGACGACATCCACGACGGCGAACGGACGACGACGACGGCGAACAGATGAAGGACGACGACGACGACATCCACGACGGCGAACAGATGAAGGACGACGACGACATCCACGACGGCGAACGGACGACGACGACGGCGTACAAACAATGGAGGAGCGTACAAACGACCACGACGACGAGGAGGGCGTACAAACGATGGATGGCGACGACGAAGACATCCTGAGGCCCGCGACCACCACCTCCACACCGCGATGAGGGCCAAATACCCCTCCCTCACTGCCCACCACCCCCTCCCCCTTTCCCTCACTTCCCACTATTCCCTCCCCCTCACTGCCCACCACCCCTCTACCTCACTGCCCACCACCCTCACCCCTACCTCACTCTCACTGCCCACCACCCTCACCCCTCTCCTTCACTGCCCACTACCCCTCTCCTTCACTGCCTACCACCTTTCCCCCCTCATTGGCTACTACCCCCTTTCCCCCATTGCCTACCACCCCCTTGCCCCCTCCCTCATTGCCTACCATCAATTTCCTTCCCCCCCCCTCTTCCCCTCTTTGCCTACCACCCCTCTCTCATGGCTCACCACCCTTCCCCTCTCCCTCATTGCCCACCACTCTCACCCCTGTTCCTCACTGCCTACCACCCTCCTCACTCCCTCTTCCCTTTATATAATATTTAGTGTAGTGATGTAAATTAATGTAGTTGTGTTAAATTAAATGCAGTTTCTCTTCTGGATATATGTATAAGTTATAGATTTAACTTCCAAGATCTTGTTTCAGGATACTTGAGTATAAAAGATATTCTGGTGATATATCCTGGAAATATATCCTGGTTCAGGATATAGTTCAAGAAGATATCTTAGTTCAGAATGTTGTTGAAAAAAACAGAATATAGTTGATAAATATATCTTGGTTCAGGATTTGATTAAAATATTCAGGATATGGTTGGAAAATATATCTTGGTTCAAAATATAGTTGACAAATATATTCTTTAGCAATGTATATATCACAAATATATATCTTGCAGGAGTATTCATTCTGATAATTTGATTTATACTCCCAAAATATATACTATCCAACAAATATATTTTCCCAAAGTCAATATATATCTTTGGGTTCAAGAAGATATATTCATACAAGCTGCTTTTTCTCAAGATAATGTATTTATCCTGTCAGAATATATACAAAATCTTTTCTAACCTGATGTATGATTGTCCTCATTATTGAGGTTCACTCCAACCTCTTTATTGAGCACTGACCCACCTTCACCTCTCTTCCCATTAAGATATTTTATACAAAACTTTGATGAGTTCTGTGGGTCACTTGGGTAGATTGTATAACAACTGCAACAACCAGTTCACAGCAGACACCACCAAGGGCTCCACCTGAGGGAGAAGTCATTCATAAGCCAACATGAGAGTATTGTCCCCTTCCAGAAGTTGAACCTCTGGCTAAGTATTCAAAGAAGCCATTGATGCATATGCTAATTTGTGACTTGTGTAGATTGCATGACAGCTGCAAACAATCTATAGAGCCCTGCACGACTCTATAGTGCTTTGCATTGACATTTGCACACTGAAATCACAAAAATTATGTTTGGTTTTGTATGTTCATCACATATTGTCATGCAGGACGACTTTGGGAATTTTGAATTTCTCAAACCCAACTTTTGTTGTGCCTCAGGTATCGGATGAGATGTGTGTGTGAATCATTGTTTGCCATGATGAGCAACAGCTTTCACTGTAGGAGATTGCAGGCCTTGTTGGATGTTGTGTCTGGTAAGTGGTCTCTTACTTCCTGATTTGAGGGTCATGGTATGACACACACAAACACAATTTCCAAAACTTATTGTGCAGACAGTAGTGCAAAGCACTGTAGCCAAGGAAAGATGTGAAATTATATGTTGTCAAGATATATATATATTTGAAAAATATATTTTGTGAACATAGATTTTTTGGCATGTAAAATGCCACAACCAGATCACAGCTTCGATAGAGGGAACAATTTGGCTAGTGGGAGTGAGCTCTCCCTTGACACCAAGACCTTGCCTCTCTAAGGAAAGCAATTCAGGAGCCTTTGACTAGCTGAGATTTTTAAATGATACTGTATCCATAGTGTCATTTGAAGTGGATAATACTAAAGCAATCAAGAATCTTGGACTGAATAGCTTCAAGGTAGCACAGTGCTGTCCAGAGGACAGTTCTAGATGTTTTCCAATGACAAAGGTACTTTGTGAACTCTGAGAAGCTAAAAAAACCCATCTGAAATGCAAACTGTATCCATAGCCATAGTGTCATTTGAAGTGGATAATACTTGTAAGCAAGTCGAGAATCTTAGACTGAATACCTTCAAGATAGCACTATGCTATCTAGAGGACAGTTTTAGATGTTTTCAAACAACAAAGCACTTTGTGAACTCTGCGAAGCTGAAAAATCTGTATTGTGGGCTGTATCCATCATGTCATTTGAAGTGGATGATACATAAGTAACTTGGGGAACCTTGGATTGAATAGCTTCAAGGTAGCACTGTCAAGGCATTTTCGAACAACAAAGTACCTTGTGAACTCTGAGCAGCTGAAAAATCTGTAATGCAAACTGTCTTCATAGTGCCATTCTAAGGGGATGATACTTGAGCAACTCAGGTAGATCACAGATACTATTGATGCCTCTTATTGCTACCTACATACTGGGAACACAAGCCAGACATAGTGCCAAAACCCCTGGAAATCATTGCAGAATCTTCCAGAGTATATACCCTAGACAGCAAACAAATCACAAGTTTTTTGCTGAAACTAGGACCCCTGACACCCCTACAGACCAGAAAAATATATCCTTACCACATCTGTTTCACAAAATATATCCTAAGGCCAAGCCAGGGCAAAATATATTTCTAAGGTGTGACAGTGACATTTCAGGGTCCACTGACCAAAAATATATCCTTACTGCATTTCACTTGCAAAATATATTTTGGTGGTGTGACACAGACATTATAATTTTTGTGTGACATTTCAGGGTCCATGTGTCAAGAATATATTTTAGATTTCAGGGCTTTCTAGGACCCATATATATCTAGAATATAGATATGGTCCATGACATTTAGTCATGTAACTTACGTGGAGTTTGCATGACTAATAGTCAGTTGGCAGTGGGTGACTGAAGTGGACTGTCCTCAGTGAGCTGGTCAAAGACCGCAAATCCTGACTCACATAGGTCGGGTCGAATGATGGAGTATATGGCAGAGATAACGGTGTTGATGAAGGAGAGTGTTTCAAGATAGATGAGGTTACTGGCCTGTTGGATATCGGAGGAAGGATGAAGTGGATTGGCAGGACCTTTGTGTCCTTGGGAGAACCAGCCGGGTGATAAATTTACTATGCCGGTCATTTTGCCACCGTGGTCGGGGTGGATCTGATCCCGCCAACTCCCATTACTTTTCTTTTTGGGTCTTAGATTCTCCGTCTGGGTCCAAATCAGTTGCTGGACCGGTCTGAGTTAAAAACTTCTCGGTTGTTGGGGGAAATAAAATTACCTGAAGATCTTCTGAGATTAACTTTGGGAAGTACCACAGAAGAATGTGGCCGGCCTTGTCAGTTATGTGGCAAGGTTTATCAAGGTAAGGGATGTCGACCGGCGATGTTGACTGGTAGATTGGTGGGAATCTTGTAAGGAGTCTGTTTTCCAAATCCCCATTGCTTCCACTCTGCCTCAGTGATAACTCGGCCACATAATCTCAGACATCCCAGTCAGTTTCATCTGGGAAGGCTTTATTGGCCTGTCTGATACCGCCGGTTGAACATCGGACTTACAGGATTGATTCCAGGCTTCTTCAAGCATCCTAATGACCTTTTCAACTTGAACTTGAGGTCCAGATGGAAGAAGCCATGTTGGTCTAGCAGGCTGAGCATGAATCAATGGCATTCTGGAACTTAGCAGCCGGCCTTTGATGTAGTGAGCTAGATCTTGTGAATGTTGAGAGGGAGTCATGGTTTTAAAAAAAACAAGAAATTCCCATTTACTTTTTATCTCCCAAAACATGAGGCCAGGGCATTGTCCATTACGTCAAAGTTTATTATGTTGAAGTTAGGGTGACAGCGTATTGATGGCCTTGTACTTGGCTCCATCTTGGCGTTGGTGAAGCCCAATGCTTATGGCCAGCTGAATAAGCCGGCCCATCAAAAGCTCAGATAATTTTTTTTGGACAAATTCAATGTTACAGGTGGTATGGAATGATATGTATTAAGAGACCCGTGTTACGCCGCATGCTCTTTCATAATAGGTGAAATGGTGTTTGGACAGAAAAAAAAAGAGGACGTACGGAAGGGTCACCTTCTCCCCATCATCGTCAATGATAGTTAAGAGCATGGTACCCTAATCACCATGTTAGTGGAAAAAATGAAGTACCAAGGGGATTGCTCACGTCAGGCAACCGGCTGGTGGAGTCCACGGTTGCAAACATGAGGCCGCCGATAGACATATTATACCACACACGGGTTCCTTTCTGATGAATCATCAGCTGGTTAAGGCCAATGGAGAGATACAGAACTTACAGGGTAGGGATTGGGTGGAGGGATGCCCAATAGAGTCCAGATCGTCATGGGGGTGAAGTGATTCATGTCGCAGTGGAGGGGTGTGGGGGAAGATGGGTCCTTGAAATGTGAGAGGGTTTTTAAACAGGGAAACATGCATGTTTCAGGTTAAATTACAACCCTCGATCCAACCCTATATCAGAAGCATAAGAATATCTGGCAGATGCCTCGAGGAGTCCCCACAAAAAAGTTGAAAATGTCATAAGGATAAGCATGGCCGGGGATTGAACCCAGAAGGCAACTCTACCATTAGACCCTGCCAGATTCCAAAGATTGTGGGCAAATTTCGATTGACATTGATGGTGACCTGCCTGGGCACAAGTTGAAGTCCCATGCCCGGGCCCAACTTGAAGCCCCATGCCTGGGCCTACTTTCTAATCTAAGAGTAATTTTGTGAGGTGTACCGGGCTGGGAGCATCCAGCTGGGGCCGGCTAAAATCTACTGACCAAATTTATCTTGCATCATAGTCTATGTATATGTGTCCTGTCCAGGCTGAGGTTGGGCCGGGTTGTCTTATGCCCCGGGTTCACCGCCTGAACAAGTCAGTGCCGAGCTTGCAGGCCCTGATTCAGTATGCCCCAGCTTCAAATGCCAAACACGTTTACTGCTATTAGAATGATGTGACCAGCATTTTGTGTAAGATGA